GGGGGAGGTCAGACTCCAGCCCTGGTGATGGGAGCCAGGAGGGGGCCAGCAGGAGGAAGGACCCCAAGAAAAGACAGGAACAAAAGAGAGGGAGCAGAGGAAAGAAAGCCTTTCGCTTTTCTGCTCATTTCTAGAGGCGGGAATTCGGCACCAACTCAGCAGGAGATGGGAGGGTTCCATACAGCCTTGCGGGCATGTGGAGACCCTGGTGCCAGGCAGGGTGCCCTCGTCCTGCTGGGTCTCACCATGTCATGCGGGAACGTCTTGCCCAGATGACAGGGGGTCACCCCGTGCAGCCCCTTTAGGGACTGCTCCCAGGGCTGTGGTCTCAGGCGCTGCCTGCACCCAGTCCAGCCTGAAGCCTTTACCCTGGAGCCAGCCCCTCCTGCACAGGCTGTAGCCTGGGGCTCAGCGGTGGGGCAGGGTGGGGGGACATGCTCAGGGTCTTCCTCTCTGCTCGCCCTCTGGAGGCACAGTTTTGTCAGGGTTCGGGGCTCCTGGTACTAAAATAGCTGGGACTCTCCCACAAACGTCCTTGGAAACGTTCACCTCATACACAACATCATGCAGGCTACCTGTGTCCTTACAGATCAGGTGATAGCCAGTGTGTGCCCGCCCTCAGCTGTCCGAGGCCGCACTGTGGCCAGGGGAGTTTGGGGTGTGGGGTGGGGTCAGGGTCAATCTCCCCTCTATGCCGGGCAGCTGGGCGGGAAGGCCAGGCTGCAGGGGACCCGGCCTCAGAGCCAGCCGGACCTAGACTTAAATCTCCACCGGCTGTGTTTCTGAGCTCTGTGACCAAAGGCATGCTGCTTGACTTCAGAGCCTCAGTTTCCCCAACTGTTACGTGGGCATCTTCCCATCTGCACGGCAGGGCGGCAAGATGTTGAATGAGAATGTAGAAAGCGCAGGCTTGGCACAGCAGGTGCCCAACAAGTGCCATCTCCTCCTCCCCAGTCTCCCTTGGTCCTGCCTGCGGCGTGTTTACAGTTTGGTACAATCTGGACTCCTCCCAGCTAAGGAGAAGCGGGAGACGGGCGTCGCGGAACCTATGAGACTTGTGGTCCAATCCGATGGACAAGAGCGAGCACTGAGAAGGGGTGGGACATACTCAGCAGAGGGAGGGCGGTGGCAGAACTCAGATGGAACTTCTGAAAATGAAGTGTGGCTTCATTCACCACCACGGCAGGCAGACACGAACCCACACTCCTCCCTTCTATGCATGAGCCAGTCCTGTCACACTTCCGGCCAAAATGCCACCTCCTCCAGGCAGCCCTCCGGGGGCTTCCAGGAGAACCCGACCTTCCCCCAGGATTTCTCACAGTGCTTTCTCTGCGCCGCAGGAAACAGGAAGCCCTTGGCTCACCACTTCCCTCCCGAAGTTAGTTACTGGGGTGACAATACTTTAATGAGACATGAAAACGTGACTATTTACACACGTGGGGTCTTCCCTCATAGATCACAATACAACATTCATAAGAGCCTGTCTTGCTCATTACTGGAGCCGCCACGTGTACACAGTGCCTGGTACTGTTTAGCGGGTGCAGAACAAGTATCTGCTGAACAAATGCACCAAGGAAGGAGTGAAGGGGCTCCATGGAGGACAAATGCAGTGCTTACCCCTCCCAGCTGCCACAGAGCCCAACCTGTGCGTGGTGGCGCACAGTAGGTCTGCAGGAGGCCTAGAGGCGGAGCCTGGCTTCCTTTGGGGGGCTCCCCCACCCACTCTTCTCCTTGTCTTTACCTGAAAATAGCGATAAACCCACCAGGTTTCCTAGAGCAGCGGTCACCAACCTTTCGGACCTCAGGGACTGCCAGTGGTTGGCGGCCGCTGTACTAGAGGGTTAGGTGGTGCCATTCTGGAATAATCCTTGGCGTCACTCCTGGAGTGGACTCCATAAACGTTCACTATTTTGATGGGGGTGCTCCATAAAAACGACATAAAATCTGGTTTGTCCTGTACGTTTCTGTACTTCTCCACATCGGCTTAATTCCATCGTAATGAGCTTAGCCGGGCCGCCAGGATCGCACAGAGAACGGAGCAGCAATCAGGAGCGGGTGCCCAGCTTGGAATTTCCTTTCCACGGAGCTTTGCTTGTGTGCTAAGCAGGAAACTTTTATTCCAAGCTTGGGCTCTTACTTTGAAAACCAAGTTGGAATGAAGCCACACTTGGTTTTTAGAAGTTCCATCCAACAGGCCCCAGGCCCTTTAAGCCTCAGCCTTGGTCCCCCACCCCCACCCCCAGGCCTGGAACCC